TCAGCTGGACTTTCTGGCATCTGTCTCTAGATTAAGGAGCTCCCTACCCACCTGGGGATTCAGCCCAGGGAGGCCATGGAGAAGGCTTAGGGCCTGGAGATCATGCTTGAGTGGTGGGAAGGGAGGGCCACAGCACCTGGTTGCCCCAAGTCAGTTGTACCTCTTCTAAGCAGGTGAAGACTTCTGGATAGTGAATTCAGCTTCCTGCTGAACTTGATCCTGTCCACCTTTCCTTCCCTATGAACTACACTCACCACTGGTGGTATGATGTGATATTAAGTGGGAATTTTAGGTTAACAGATAAAAACAGATGGAGACCGAGATGAGAATCAATCTGACTCTCATCATTGACACAACAACCCTAGAGGGGGATAGGATTGTAAAGGGAAGCAGATGGGAGTCTGGTTTGCCTGTACAGTGGTGGCAGATCCCATCTAGCTGGAGTGAGTAATGTTTATGGGCTTAGGGAATTATCAGAAGCTGGGTCGAGGCAAATAAAAATATGCTCACCTGGTCTGAGTGGATTGGATAAAGTTCTCCCTCCTTTCCTCCTCCAAAAAGCCTAGTATGTCGGAAAGGATAATGAGCATGGTAAACTGACAAAGAAAATAATTTTAATTCTGATTTTTCTTTAATCTCAGTCCCATTTTGGAAGTGGGGGGGATGAAGGAACAATATGATTGTAGCTGATGCATATGACCACTGACCACTAAACATCCCTGTTTATCGGTTAATTATGCCAGTTCTTTGTACAATGCCATAAACTGTCTGCATGCATTTTAGGATTCAAAATATTTCACAACTTAATTCATCAATTAAGAACCAAAGTCCTACATAAGAGAGAAAGGTCACCATTGAAAGAGAAAGAAAGTATTACATTTCTATTTTTTTTCTGTAGATTAGAAAAAGCGGACATATTCCAATGCCAGAACTTAAGCTGTCAATCTCATTCCCCAACTTGACCTCAGATGGTTATCCTGTGCTATACCCAAGTGGATGGTCATCTTCTGAGGTGAGTCATGTGTGCCTCGGAATTATATCATTACTGTTATCTTTTCCAGTTTATATTCATAGCCTTTTGTTCTGCATGCTACTTGTGATAAAGGGCTTTACCAAAGTAACATGGAGAGGCATTTAGAAAACTAAAATAATAATAATAATACCTTACACTAGTTATTTAGTAGATGTATTAGTTCCCTACAGCTGCCGTGGTAACAAATTACCCCAAAGTGGGTGGCTAAAAACAACAGAAATTTATTCTCTCACGGTTCTGGAAGCCAGAGGTCTAAAATCAGGGTGTTGGCAATGTTGGTTCCCTCTGGAGGCCCAGAAGGAGAAGCATCCATTCCATGCTTCTCTCCTAGCTTCTGGTGGCTGCTGTCAACCGTTGGCATTCCTTAGCTTGTGGCAGCATAACTCCAGTTTCTGCCTATGTCTTCACAGGGCCATCTTCCCTGTGTTTCTGTCCTTCTCCTTCTCTGTTTCTTATAAGCACACTCATCAGTGGATTTAGAGCCCACCCTAAATCCAGAATGATCTCATCTGAGATCCTTAATTTAATTACATGAGCAGTGACCCTATTTCCAAACAAGGTCACAGTCATAGGTTCCAGTTGTTAAGACTTGGGCATATGTTTTTGGGATCACTATTCAATAGAGTAGATTTTAGATAATTGTTGACTTATGCCTGAAATGTTTATTACACCTTTAAGTTGTTTGAGGTGATCAAACTCTATAAAGGGACTTGTTAATTTCTCCTAACCACACACAGCTGTACCTAAAGGAGTACAATACTATTTACTCACTTATCCCAAACAACAGCAATATCACACTCACTTTGTACCTATAGCATTGAATGAGTCTATACGGTAGTTAATTGTTACGGTTCAGTCTCTAAAACATAGAAAATCACAGTAAGTATTGAAGTAATGCATGCATGATTTCAGCATTTGACAATCTGTCTTCTTTTCAGAGTTTTTTTTTTTAGGTTAAAGTGTTTTCAGAAATCAAGAAATAGCAGCAGTCATAGTTGGCTTGTAATATTTAAATATTTTCCTAAAGGCAAGGAAAAAATAAACCTCTAGCATTTCCCTCTAATCTAAAAAAGTAGGTTTGTGAGAAGCTAGAATAAAATTGTACTTTTATTACTACTTATGAACCTTTATCCTTTTTACCTTTTTTTAAGGATGTAGAGAGTACTGGGGAAGCAAAAAGTTTATTAGATTACGTCTAGAGAAACAATCCAAGAACCAGCTGTCTTATAAACGTGGCATTTTAACATCTATTGGGCTGCTTACTTACTTCTTCCTCCCACAGAGACTACGTGTCTTACCCTTGGTGTGTAGGGATTCCAAAAATATTATTGGGTAAATACATAAATACAGATGAAAGTTCCTTTTTTTTGTTTCATAAACCATCATATGAGCCATCATATTGAATAACAAATGCTAGCTCTTTTTTTTCCTCAGTAGAGTTTTAAATTTCTTTTCTCTGTATTATGGGAATTTACAAACTAATGTTTGATGAAAACAGTAAATTAGTGAGTTGTATTACTTAGGTAATAGAAAGTTCTACTAGCATCCTTCCTTTTCCGTAACAACCTCACTGCTATCTATTACAATTCAAAAGTGGCATGGTAACTATGATCTGGAGGTGGGTGTGTATGGCTGGTGCAGAATAGCTTCTTCCCTATTGCACACTTATGAGGATGGATCTTTCATATATGGCAATGGCTGTCATTCACAGGTTCTTGACGTTATTGCCCCAACTCGTTTTTCCCTCTGACATCTGGTATGGTTTGATAAAAGAAATATTTTTATTTCTTAGAATGCAAACTGCAGACCCAGTAGCCTTCAGGATCCTCTTGGTATCAACTCTGGGAAGAAAATGACTATATCCAAATCTGAAGATCTCAAACGAGGCACAATTCTGGTAAATTCAGATAACCAAGACAAGTGCTAATTTTACCTCATGCTTTCCAAGTGAATAAATTCAATATTGACCTAAAAATAACTATCTTATAGAATATTTTAATATTCTGTCTTTTATCAAATGGCAAGAATACTAATATATATGTCATTTAAACAGGACTGCAGTACTTGTAAATTTGCTACCATCACATGTAATCTGATTCCTTCTGACGTGAGCCAAGTGAATGTTTCACTTATCTTATGGAAACCAACTTTTATAAAAGTAAGTGATTGCATTGTTCTATGCAATTATTGAATTATATTAACAAATATTTGTTCATTACTTAGCATATGCAAAGCCGAGTGCTTCTGTAGAAAGAACACAAGACTGGAAGTCTAAATGTGGTTCAAGCCCCAGAGCCACTTAACCAGCTATTTGGGTCTTGTTTTCTTAGTCTGTCAGTAACTAGGTTATCTCCAAGGTCCCCTTCCAGATATATGCTTTTTTCAGTCTCTCTTATTCTTTTTCTTTGCACCTAAAGAGATAAATGCCTATACGGTACCAAAGTTTGCACTTGTCTTAATACTTTGGAACTCAGTTAAGGGACAGAGAATTACAGAGTGACAATCCTTGACACCATTAACAAAGGATAGAGCTAACATATATTACGGACTCATGGTGTTAAGTAAGACTATAGCTATTTATCTATCTATCTATATATATATATATATTCTCTCTACATATTCCTCTATATATATTCTATATAAATATATTTTGGAGGACATTTTTTTAACCCTTAATAAAGTCAAATCCGTTTGACAACAAGCACCTTTAAAACTTACTCCATTGTATTTTGTATTATTTGCTTCTCTCTTAGGAAGCATTTAGTTAATTATATGAAATTTCTATCATTTATATTAAATTACTAGTTGTGTAAGTCATGAATTGTTGAATATTGGCAATTTCATGTTTAATCCTAAACAAGTTCCTATATAAATCTCATTACCAGAGTGTAGCTATTTCATACTTAGCTGCATGAAAGGTGGGCAGAGTTGAAGGTTTGTTTTTTCTCAAGATAAATCTGAATAGAAATTATTTCGAAAAATTTTCCATTTTATAGCAAGGATCTAAGTGAGAATTTGAGTACAGAGAGGGAGGATGGGTACACACTCATCATTTTGATACCACCAGTTTGATTTGGATGTTAACAGAGCCAGTGCTTTTAATCTCTCAGAAAAATCTTAGTTTTAAAAATTGTGCTACTGGGGCCGTCCCGGTGACGTAGTGATTAAGTTCATGGGCTCTACTTTGGTGGCCCAGGGTTTACAGGTTCAGATCCCGGGTGCGGACATGCACATTGCTCACCAAGCCATGAGGCAGCATCCCACATACAAAATAGAGGAAAATTGGCACAGATGTTGGCTCAGGGTCAATCTTTCTCAAGCGAAGAGAGGAAAATTGGCAACAGATGTTAGCTCAGCGCCAATCTTCCTCACCAAAAAAAAAAAAATTACACTACTCAAACATGACTAGCTCTCATTGTGATTAACATAATGTGTTGAAAATAACTCCTGTTTGCTTTTCAGACACGTTTTTCCAGCTTAAATCTTACTGTAAGGGCAGAACTTCAGAGTGAAAATGCATTGCTGGTTTTAGGTACTGGCAATCAAAAAAGAGAGGTGAGTGCAACTCTAAGTTTTGAAAACATTATACATTTCATTCTGAATTTTGTGACATAACGTTTTATGATTGTTTATAGTCCCTAAAGCAGTGACTAGTACTGCCCTCAATAAGTGGCAGACAGTTTTTGCTTCAAATTATACTTGATTAACTTCAAGCGTGATTTCAGTCTCCTTCTTCTTTGTAAGAAACCATGATATTTACAATTAACATGCCACGTTTGATTTTATTGCTTCTAACTATCACAGTAAATTGATGTTTTTACTTTCACCTTGATAACAAATGATGCATTTGTAATTTTCCTCCTTAAAAACTGGCATTATAAAATGCAGTTTTATATCTGAAAAGCAGACTTGAAAAACAATTTCTTTACAGAAAGTGTCTTTATACTGTACAGGAATACAAGTAAATTTTTTAAAGTTTTCTTCATTTGGTCATTGGGAAATTTAAAATAAAAAAATGGAGTATTATTCCATAATACAAATTCATACTTGAGTCTTTGGTAAACATACAATGGTTTGAGTCTTTTCCTCTTGTCCTTTTATAAAGTAAGGCCAAAGTACTTGTTATAGACGTGGGCACTTTGGCATGATATTCCCTCTCATCATGGGAGAGTCTGAAATCCCATGTGGACATTATGAGTCATAAAATTCTATTTGGAAGCTACCTAACATTCAGATATTGTTTTAAATTTTCTTATTTCAAATTAATGTGTATTTCAAATTATTTCGATGTCAATGACCTCGGATAGGTAACTCGCCTTTAAAGAATATATGCATATAATGCATATAATATGTGCAAAATATATGCATATAATGTTTGCTTACTTAATAAAGAGCACTTAGCCTGATAAATGCAAAGTTGTTTCACATACAGAAAAGCCAAAATTTCACCAGTAAGCACCTGAAATATGTGAGTATATGTTGTATTGGAAAAGAATACACTTGATTCTTAAATGTGTTTTGTTAAAATTTTATACTTAACTTTATTTCCCCTAAATGTTAGCTTAAAATTCTCCATGGAGCTATTTATTCTACATTTTATCCTAAAAGAAAATTGTACCTAAATTGTTAAAATTACTAAAAGTGATCATTTTGTAATTGTGTGATTTTAGGGAAGTCACTGATCCCATCCAGACCTCGGTTTCTGTATCTGTAAGTTCAGGGAATTGTTTTAGATGGGTTTAAAATCCGTCTTAAAAGGTCTTATTCTGGGATCAGCCTGGTGACATAGTGGTTGAGTTTGCGTGCTCCATTTCAGCGGCCCGGGGTTTGCGGGTTCAGATCTTGGGCGTAGACCACCATTCATCAGGCCATGCTGTGGCAGCGTCCCACATGCAAAGTGGAAGAAGATCGGCACAGATGTTGGCTCAGGGACAATCTTCCTCAAGAAAAAAAAAAAAGAGGAAGATTGTCAACAGATGTTAGCTCAGGGCAATCTTCCTCACCAAACGAAAAAAAAGAAGAAAGGTCTGATTCTGTATATATATCTATACTCCTGCCAGCTCTGTCTTCCCGATGCATCAGCTGTGACCTACCGAGAATGATTTGAGGGGTTGAAGGGCTTGGATCAGTGCACTGCATGCGTATATCTCCCCTGTTAATTTCCTTTTTTACCCCTAATCTTCCCTCTAGGTCAAGGAATGGAGATGTTCCCTGTTAAAGGCAAATACAGAACCTTGAGCTATTATCAGTCATTCATAGTTACCCTGAATTAGTTTTTTTCTCAGAAACCTAAAGGATGAGACACAGAGCAGACAAGTTGCATTGAGAAAGCTTGAGTAGCTGGAGCACTAAATGCTGTCCACTTCAAAGTTTTACTTGAGTTAAGACCTAATTTATAGATGCTGACTAAGAGTGAATTACCTGGAAGAGACAGGGTAGTATAATAAAAAGCACATTGGGGGTGAATATATGCAAAAAATCATTTATCTGTACACTTGAAGTTTGTGCATTTTACTATATGAAAATTATACCTCAATTTGTAAACAAACAAAAAAGATAAAACCCATTAGAATTAGAATAAGAAGACCTACTCAGGTTTTTATGTCAACAACCTGTGCCATTTCAGCCTAAACCTATGCTATTGTGATAATGCACTAAAGTCTATTAATAAATCATTAAAACATACAGTACTTTTGGTTCTCCCAGAGTTAAATTCACCCCTCCCTTGAGCATTCTGATTCAGACAGTTGTATGTATAAGTTTCTGAAGGATAAGATTATAAATTTTTTTGGTAATAATAAATTTGACATAGATAGAGATTTAGAATAGATGAAGGGCATTTTTAAATATAAACTCAATGTTTTCTCAGTATATAATAATGAGATTAAGTACACTGTTTGGTAGAAAATTATAGCCAGAAAGAACTATATGTACCGGGAGTTGTAATAGGTGTTTATCAATGTTGACAATCTTGCTTAATAATTTTCAGCTTGCTATTCAAATATCCAAAGATGGGCTACCGGGAAGAGTGCCATTATGGGTTATCCTGTTAAGTGCTTTTGCTGGATTATTGCTGTTAATGCTGCTCATATTAGCGCTGTGGAAGGTAAGCACCAAAATTCCTTTAACTTTCTCTTTCAATCATCGACAACAAATTGGTGAAATAAATTATGATTTATTCATGTTGTGTAAAACAGTATCATACAGCAATGAAAAACACTGAAATGATGACCAAGACAAAAAGAAAAAAGAAAAATGCATGTCTCAAACATTGTGTACAACTTGATCCCATTTTTGTGAAAAAAAAAATGAACATATCCAAAACTCATGGAGGCTCTCTCTAGAGGTTGGAATTATAGGGGACCTTTATATATCTATAAATTGGAAAGTTTAAATTAATTATGCATTACTTTTATAAGCAGAGAAGAATGAAAACTCTCTTTTATAGAAAAAGAAAAGAAGGAATACCTATGTCAATTTAAGAATATATAAGCAATGGAATCGTGATTAAGATAAGCCTTATTCTAATCACACATCTCTATGTATCTTAAAAATCAAATACTTCTTTAATATATAAACATATATACCAAATTTTATGCAATAGTTGTGGGCCTGAGTGAGAGATGAGAGATTTATTAATAAGTTGATGAAAGGAAAATCTTATAGTTTCATGGACTCCTATTTCAAATCCTCTTGTAAAACTGAGAAACCATCTATTTTCTGTCAGTTAAATGTATATATTTACATAGATGTTTTGCTTAAACTGAGGTATGCAAGATTTTTCAAACCCTTAGCGGTATCACTTTCAAATTAAGCCAAAGTGAGATGATAGCTTTTAGGATAAATTTAATAGAGAATAAAATCCAAAAGAAAAGTTGAATTTAATGTTTTTCCAACTAAATATCAAACTGGCATTTATTCTAGCATAATATGACCCTGTATTTTCCTATTGTTTTGTTAAATAGATAACCAATGTTAAAAATACAGATTATGGCTACATATTCATTTTTCTAACACCTGAGCAACAGAACTATCTTTTTTTTTTTTTTTTTT